TTTCTTTATTTTTATTTACTAAGTATAATTCAACTCGTTTTTGTCGTTTGTTTAAGTGGTATAACAAATTCATATTGGATAATCACAGCAGATATTGAAATTCATAAATCATATAAAGGAAGATAAAGTAGGTAAATGGTTAAATTAGCAACAAGCTAGCGTGTTTTTATCGTAAAGGTCAGATTTTGGCGTTAACTCGGTTTTGACTAAACGTGAAGCTGTGGGGTTAAATGGTGGATATAAAGTCTGAATACCGTCAGAAAATCAACCACCAATGGGTTAAATTCACGGTAAATCATTCGTTAAATTGCTGACAGGTGGTTTAAAATAACTCGTGTTCATGTTTGTGTGGTTTTCGGAGCCTGGAGCGGCTCCAGTCTGTGGCCCAGTTCACCTGCTGCACCTTCACAGCAAACCATCAATAATGCAGCCATCGATAATTCTCTTATCAATAATTCAGCGATGGGCTTCAAACAGACACAGATAAATACAAGACTTCAGGAGACTCTCAGGTATGAAACATTTCAAACTAACCTGATCAGCTTCAGTCGCTGCCTCCGAGCACCGAGCGGCTCCCAAACACCGGAGAGTCCGTTAAAGCGGCGAGCCGGTGAGGTGACAGCTCCGGTGCTCCGGTGCTCCGGTCCTCCGGGGGTTTTGAGCTCTAATGTCGGCGGTGGAAGCCACCAAATCGGTGCCCTGAACGAACACGGTAACCGGTGAACGCGTTACCGAGAGCTGCTGCTCCGCAGACCTGCTGCTCACACGAGACAAGCCGAGTGGCTGCGACCCCAAGATCGGAGAGTTCCGTAAAGTCCGAGTGCAGCACGAAGAAAGCCGAGCGGCGAGTTTCCACAATAAAAGTCAGACTCAGCCAACGCGTAAATAAGAAAAAAGAATACAAATTTAAATTAAAAAATACTATAAGAATAAAACAGAACAAAAAAATATGAAAAAAAGATTAAGAACCAGACCAGGTATAAGAATTATTATAAGTGATGAGAAACAGAAAGAATGAGTAAGATTAGAATTAAAGTAAATGTTACGATAAGAATGAGCATAAAACTCCTAGTAATAAGAGCTAGAGTAAGAATAAGAATGAAAACAGCAATAACAATCTCAATAAAAAAGAAGAAAAATAATAAAATAAGTAAATACATAAAAATAAATAACAATAGCAATAAAAATAAGAATAAGAGTAAAAATAAGAAATGTTATGACCATTTCTATGCCACATTTCATGCAACACATAAAAAAATAAAAGCAGTCCCTGAAAATACAGCTTAAAAGAAAGCATTAGTCATGTCAACCCTTTGATCCAAGTGGTGCATCACAATAATAATGTATGTGTAGTGCACCTTTCATGCAACAGCATTAAAAATGTTAATAAAAACACCATATTTTATTAACAGGGATAATACTTTATTTATGGAGAACCTTTTACATACAACTCAAAATGTTTCAACACAAGCAAAATACTTTTTTTTTTTTGTAAATCTGTTATTCCTCTTTAATTTTTCTGCTTCTCAGTTTTTACTGTGATGCACCAAACATCAAGTCCAATTCCTTGTGTGTGAAAACCTGCTTGACAAATAAACATTCGGATTCAGAAATCAAACTTTGTAAATCAAGTTCACGTGACTTTATTTTGAAACTAAATTTGCCCCGTATCCGGTACAGTTTGTCTTCTCTCTGGGGAGCTTGACTCAGGTCTGCCCTTCCCCAAGACATCAGCAGGAGTCCGTCTGAGCCTTGAACTTGTCAAACGGAGTTTTCTGTCAACAATAAAGTCAGAGTCAATCAGTTAAACTTTATTCATGTGGCGTTTTTCAGAGAAGACAAACAGGAAGACAGCAAAGACACAGAATTAGTTAGATTTATACCACGACTTGTATTTATTAATGTTCCTTTTTTTTTGCAATAAGTGCTTTAAACAACCACATAGAGCACATGACAAAGCATCCTGAGGTCAAGGGTTCATGTTTCTCCTTTAATTTGTCGCCCATCTGTCTGTTTGCACAAGAAAATGCTATATAAACATATTTCTCTTCATATTTTCACCTTTTCATGTTTAACTTTCCATCTTCAGCAGATGTTTGGTGCTGCTGCCCCCAGCTGGTGGAGAGAGGACACAACAACCTGCGTCATGTTGGTCACTGATTATCCAGAAATACTGCAGGTTTATTTCTATTATGTTGTGTGTAACTAGAGCTACACATTTACATCACGAGGATATGAAGTACAGTTCTGAGGTACTTGAGTATTTCCATTTTATTCTGATTTCTCCTTCCACTCCACCACATTTCAGAGGAAGCGTACTTTCTACTTCACTTCAGCTCTCATCCACACCTGCCGGAGTTTCCTAACTACCTCGTCAACCGTCAACGGGTATCGCCGAAGATTCCCCCGAGTCTTCAGGCTGTGCCTCCCCAGCAGAGGACGTGTTTACCGGGTTCAGGAGTTCCTCAAAGTGCTCGATCCACTGCTGACCCGACTGCACACAGCCTGGGCAACACCCTGCCTCACTTCCTGAGGCGTCCAACAGTTTGTCAGAACTTCCTCGAGGCCAACTGAAAGTCCTTCTCCATAGCATCTCTGAACTCCTCCTAGAGTTTCAACTTCCACACTTGCCACAGCCCTTTTGGTCAACCAGTACCTGTCTGCTGTTTCAGGAGACCCCCGAGCCAACCAGGCCCAGAAGGCCTCCTTCTTCAGCTTGGTGGCACCAGTGGGTTTTTAGGTTGCCACCATGACAGGTCGTCACATACCAGTGACCTTCTGGCTGGAGCTGCGTGGTCCACTCCGGCTCCATGTCCCCAGCCTTCCCAGAGATGCAGGAGAAGCTCTTCTGGAGGTGAGAGTTGAAAACCCCACTGACAGGTTCCTCCACCAGACGTTCCCAGTTCACCCACTACATGTTTGGATTTACCAGGTCTGTCCAGCAGCCTTCCCCACCATTGGATCTAACTCACCACCAGGTGGAGATCAGTGGACCGCTCTGCTCCTCTCTTCATCCGAGTGTCCGAGACAAACGGCCACAGGTCTGATGACACAACTTTGACCTTTGGCCTCAGGTGCTCTGGTACCTGGACCACTTATGAACCACCGCTTGAACATGGTGTTTGTTAAGGCCGATCCATGACTAGCACAGAAGTCCGATAACAGAACACCACTCGGGTTCAGATCATTCAGGCCGTTCCTCCCAGTCACCTCCAGGTTTCTCCATCATTGTCCACGTGAGCACTGAAGTCACCCAGGAGAAGTTTGAGAAGGTCGAGAACTCTGAGCTGCTGTTCAGTGCATCAGCACAAACAACAGTCAGAGTTTTCTTCTCGGCGACACTCGGTCTCAGAGAGGCGCCCCCTTCGTTCTCCATACAGAACCTTAAACAAGCCAGGGGCTCCTCTCATCCTGGACAACTATGGGAAAGGAGAGAGAGTCCAATCTCTCCAGGAATGTGGTTCCAGAACCTTTGCTGTGCATGGAGGTGAGCCCATTTATATCTAGTCGGTACCGCCCCTCCAGTAAAGTGACGTTCCACCTCCTCACCACCAGGGAGCAGCACGCCCAGGTGCCTGCTCATGGAGTCCTGCAGGTGGTGGCTCACTGAGCCTCACTGTTGCCTTTTCGGGCTGTACCCGACCGAACCCCGACCGAACCCCAACGAGCTCCAAGGCTCGATCACCAGAGGTCCAGGAGGGGTTTTCATGTTCCAGACGAGGTGGTCACTCTCTGTTCTCTTTGTTTTTTATTGCAGTTTTGTGAGAAGTTATTAAGTTATCTCAACTTAAATTTAGTCCTAAAGCAACTAACGTAGAAATTTGAGTTCAGATTACACCCCATAATAAGCTGATGCAACATTATTAAGTCAACCCAATGAAACAACGTTTACAAACTAAAGGTTTATCTAAATGAGTACATTTCTTCTTATTATTTTGTAGCCATGAATTTAATTAAGTGTTGTGAATGAGTTTCTTTCATGACTTTTCAGAGGGCATCCCATAAAGTAACTGTAAGAACAGAAACACCTGCTCGTGGTTTGGCTTCCACGTGACTCAGCTGCACACATTCAGTTCCAGTCAGACATGTGTTTGGTGTATCTTCAGTCATCTGGACAAACCTTCTGTCACCTTGTTGCCTCTCTGCCAGGGTGGACGTGGAGCCTGATGAGTAGATTTATCTGGATGAAAACGTCCTTCTGGCAGCTTCACATCAGGTTTTACTGCGCACTCTTCACTTTTATGTCTTTTACGGGCCGAACCATAACCACGCGTTTGATTTTGACATTTACTTCACGATCTGCCGTTTGAACCTTTTCCACGCTATTAAACCTGATCCCAGAGTTAATACCCTCCTCCTCCTCCTCCTCCTCCTCTTTCTCAGACTTTCCAAATAAAGCGGATCCAGCTGTGTGCAGCTGTGCGCCCTCCGTGCGTCACGACGCCGCGCCGCAGACACTCAGACAGCAGCGAGGAGGAAAGATGTCCGGGATCACGCTGCTGCTGCTGTCGGTCCTCCTGAGCTGGAGCCTGCGGAGCGGGGCCGTGATCCTGCGGGACTCCCTGGAGCGGGGCCCGGTCAGCCTGAACGACATGTTCCGGGAGGTGGAGGAGCTGATGGAGGACACGCAGCACATTCTGGACGAGGCGGTGGAGCAGGTCTGCGTCATGTTTTATTCATTCATACAGGAGCGCTGCTGTTTGTGTCAGAGCGGGAGGAATGTCAGAGGAAAAAAAAACTTCAAAAACACAGAATTTATCTCAAGAAAACACCCAGTTCATGTGTGTTTTGTGCAACATTCAGCCCAAACCTGGTGGAATCAGAGTCTGCTGGATGATGTCACCTCTGGTTGTTTGTTGGTCACTTCTCTTTGACTAACTGGGTTTGGTATGTGAGTTTCCATGTCTGCTTTAGGTCTGACCCACATCATGTTCACACTGTTTATCCCTCCTCCACTGACACCTCTCCAGAGTGCATGTTGCTCCGAACACTCCCTGTATTTTACATTTATTCTATTACGAAACTGATGCTTCTCCCTGTTCGGCCTCTTCTAGTGTTTTATATAATTTCCCCCAAATTCATCCTACAAGTCTTATCCTGTCTTACTGTTGGCACACATTTCTGTTGCTGCCTGTCTGGAAACTTTCGCAGCACTTTGCTTTAACTCGGCTTGTTTTAAACACATTATATAAACAAGCTGGACGTGATTTGATTTGCTGGATCGGCTCAGTCAAAGAAAGGCAAGTGTGTTTATAATAAAATCAGTTTGTGCTGCAATTCCAAGGAGAATAAAATTAAATAATAGCAATAAAATAGAGCAAAAGTAATAATCAGAGACTCCAAATGCAGCAGCTCGACCCACACTTCGACTCTTCCTTAGTGTTTGGGCTCAACAAAAGACCAAATACAGACAATTTTGAAGCAGAAATGATTTCAAAGCACCCGCATGATTGAGAATTTTACACCCTCAGCTTCTTTTCTGAGACTCCTGGAAAGTTTCTACCTGGAACTCTGTTATTTTTCCTCCCTGTCAGCGTGTTTCGGTCAGTTCCTGGTTTTTGATCATTTCAAACCCACCGGGAGCTTTTCCACCTTCATGGAGATCAGTATCAGAGGATTTCCTCCCGTGTGGACGACAGACGTCTTAACTGAACGTAAAAACACACGTTCTGCGTTTTATTGAAGATTTCTGAACGTTTCCCAACATTCAACAGATAACGACAGAGAGCGCAAAGTCTTCGTCCTCCTTGCTGGATCTGCGTCCAAACTTCCACAACATGACAAAGAAGGTGATAAAAGACGGGGACAGAACGGTTCAGGTTCTGGATAGAACCGATCAGGTAGGAGTTCGGGTCTGAATTAGAGACATGATTAATTCAGAAATGGAGGAAACTGTCTTTGTGAACTGCAGGAACATAAAGACTGTTTTTACACTTTGACTTTTCATGTGAATTTTTCTGAAAATCAAAACTGAATCACACTCTCTCTGTTTTGGTTCATTTATAGGAAACTAATAACCAAACAGGAGAAAGTCATCTCTCTCACATCCACATGGAGATCTCTGGACAGTGGAACAGCGTCAATCACGTGAGTCTTTTTATTTCCTGTTTGTTTTGTGAACTTTTACTGACTTATTAGAGGACAGTGTTGGTTTAAAGGTGTAGTGCAATAAAAAGCTGTGTCTCTCTCTTCATCTGGTTTCCTCTCAGACCACTTAAACTACAATATGCTGAAACACTAGTAAAGGAATTTTGCTCCACGCTTTACTTACCAACGTATGTTTGAGCATCTTCTGCAAAAAAATGCAACGGAAACATTAACCATACGTACCTCAGCTATTTTCTTGTAGGACATTTGGTGTTAATTCTAGGAATCCAAATGATTCATCATGAATCAAATAATTCCTGTAAATGTTTTTAAACAATTCAAACTATATTAACCCATAAGGCAGAAGAAGAAGGTAAATGTATCGCAGCTGTAGTACCTGGTTGTTCCACCAGGTGGAGCCTCTTACCGTAGCGTCGCGTCCATGGTAGTGTTTAAATCAACACTGTTAAATGAGTAGTATTGTGATTTTTTATTTCTCTTATTGTTGTGGATGTTTGAGGTGATTTTATGTGGCAGAGAGCATCGTGGGGGTTTAGCTAGCACCGGGCACCATGACAACAGTCGTAGTTCCACAACTTAACCAGTTAGTTTCAGGTCTGTACAACTTGAAACGTTTCATTGTTGTCACTAAAACAACTTGTTGACTGAACTTAACGTTTAAAACTGATGTGACGAGTTTGCCAGCTTCACCTTTTTTACCGCAACTATTTATTGTAAGTTTAAAGAACTCCCAGATATATGTGCAACAAAAAAATAGAGTGGTGGTGGCAGCGTCATGATGAAGCACGGTGGTGGCAGCATCATGACATGAAGCACGGTGGTGGCAGCATCATGACGTGAAGCACGGTGGTGGGCATGATGTGGGGATCTTCTCAGCAGCAGCCCTGGAAGACTTGTACAGGTCGAGGGTAAAATGTTTGCAGCAAGTACACAGAAAAGTTTAACTCCCGACTTTAAGGCAGTCAGTTTACAGAATATTTCAACTTGAACACGCTTGTTTTACGGTGTGCCTACCTCGGATTTAAATAGTTTTCTTGTTCTGCTGTTGCCGTCATGAAGCCGTACATTTCACAGGAAAGCAGCAACTTGTTGCTTATCCAGCTGAGATTCTGTCGAGTCGGGATTCTGGAAATGTTGTCTTTGCTTTCTGGGCAGAAACTCAAAATCTGACTCTTCTGGTTTCAAACCTCATTTTTCTCTTTTAGTGGAAATGTAAAGTGTACAAACAGCCTTTTCATGAACCAGGAGTTGGAGAGTAACAGCTCCAGTATCACTTTATGGAAATAAGCTGCTGCAGGTAGAAATCCTGCATCCAAACACGTACCTGATTAGGTGCAATCAGCAAAATGCACTTAAAATATCAAGCAGAAAATAGATTGTTCTGCAGAAAAATGTTCCTCGTCAGTGTTTTCTTGTTCTATCTTATATGTTTTTATTCATGTAACTGCTGAATCAATTTGCATTTTGCATTCTGATGCTCTGAACGATTAAGGTTGAGCTAATTTTAGCTATTCTATCCTGCATTTTGTCTGAAGTGATTCATAATTTTGTGTGAGATTATCATGTGTTGTGTTGTGAGAACCACATATTTCGCTTTTTCACGAGCTCAGAGGAAAACAGGCCGTTTCTCAGCTTTGTGAAGGTTTTTAAAAAACCTTGTTTAGCTTCAGAATGAGGAGAATTTTCTCACCTCTAACGAACCACTTAATCATCCAGTTGATGCTTCACTGGAAAGTTATGAAAAACTGTAATCTGGAGGGTAACTAAAGCTGCCAGATGAATCTAGTGGAGTAAAAAGTGCAGTATTTGTAGTGAAGTGGGGAAATAAAGTTGCATAAAATGGCAAAAATAAAAGATAAAGCGTGGAGTCGTGATCCTGTTTTGTTCTCTTCCATGAGCATCACTCGTGTTAGTTTGACTCCAAGACATTCCTGGGCTTATTCGCTGCTCTTAAATTAACCGTAATGTTCCTACGTGAACACTTTCCTCCAGTTTAATAAATATTCTGGGAGAGGAAACGGAGGGGCGGAGCTTCCTCTCAAACTGTGGCTTCATTGTCTCGACTCGTTCGTATAAAACATGAGCTCATCCGAGCGCTGCGACCCAACGTATACTTTTCATAGTTTCGGCCTCGAGCTGAGGTCATTACCGCTGCTCGCCGCCTGTTTTGCCGTTTTACTTTACAACGGCGGGTTTGATCTTCTGCTTTCCTGGCAGCTGTACAGATGGTGGTTATGTTAATGGAGCTGGCTGCTGGAAAAAAAAAAATGCCAGGGAAGCGAGGAGGTCTGCGAACCAGGCGGGTTCAGAGACGTTCCTCCTCTGAAATCACCAAGAGTTAAGAAACTTCACCCTCACAGCCGAGTTAGTGACTGAACACTTTAAAGAACACACCGGTAAATATGTTTTTGGCTGATTTTAAGATGAAACAACTTGTGGACTAAAGGTGGAAGCACTTGGTTGAAATGTGAGTAAAGCTGCTCCTGCTTCAGTTGGATTTAAGTGACTTAGTGAGTATATGTAACTTTAATATGAAGCTGTTGCAGCAATATGGCGTCCATAAACCCTGAAACCAACGACAGTGTCTATAAAAAGTATTCACCTCCCTCTGAAGTTCAACCTTTTATAATCCTGATCAATATAATTTGGCATTTTGGACAAGGGAATTACATCTTTCCTGTCAAAGTGAAACCAGATTCCTACAAAGTTATGTCAATTACAAAAACAAAAACAAAAAG